GTGGGGTGCCAACTTCATACACTCAATTACATTGACGAATTGCTCAACTGTTGTGCAACTGTTGAGTTCGCTGAACGCACCCAATGATACGGTAGTGCTGAATAGCGCTAATGATCTGGTTTATATCGTGCACTTAATACGCGTACTAGTTAGTAACGCGTAATAGTAACTTTCTATTAGATAACCTTAATATCGACAATGCATATCAATGGCGACGCATTCAATCAATACAATACGTTTTCTTGATGAGTATTATACCAACTTAATATACCGTTGTTTATATATATCGTCGATATTAAGATTATCTAATAGAATTACTATTTAGTACGCGTATCAAGGCCACGATAAACCAGGGCAATAGCGAGCTCCCCGAACGCATCCTCTGTCTAGATTCTCTCTGGTTTCCGATGTATGCGAGAAAATGGCTAATTACGCTAATATAGCTAATTAAAAATGGCGTAAAGTTAATTAAAAGAAACAGAACAACGAAAAGTAATATTTACATATTATATTTACATATAAACCTTTTTTTTATTTGTCGTCCGGTTTGTTAAAAACAAGAGTATATCCGCATTTTCCGCAATAATGCCGGTCTTCCATTGCGGCCATAAATACACCTGCGCCGCATTGCTCCATCGGACATTCCCGGCGCAAACGGTGGATTTTACCGTTTTCATCCACCTATAAAATGTGTTTTACAATGTATTTAGATATTTCACGACTCAATGATAAAAAGCAAATAAAGAACTAATCGAACAAGCAAATGGTTACCTTGTAATATTTTAGTACAGCAAGCTTAACTTTCTTCTTTTTGTGCTTAATTTTTTTTGGGGTGGAATAATTCTTCTTCTTGCGCTTCTTAGCACCACCTCGCAAGCGCAATACCAGATGAAGAGTAGATTCTTTTTGGATGTTGTAATCTGATAAAGTCCTTCCATCTTCTAATTGTTTACCAGCAAAGATTAATCTTTGTTGGTCAGGTGGAATTCCTGAAACACCATATGGGACGTTTTGTTTAGAACTTGATAATAATTTACATTTAGATTCTAACAACATACAAAAAGCTCGATGAAACTATTTGTAAGAAACCTCACCCTCTTTATCTTGAATCTTGGCCTTAACATTTTCAATGGTATCAGATGCCTCAACTTCAAGGGTAATAGTTTTACCCGTGAGAGTTTTCACGAAGATCTGCATGATTGGAGGATTCTGTAACATATTGTATTTTTCGTTTATGTCATATAGTTTATCAAACTGGAATCTTGGAATCTGATTTGAAGCTAGAGCTAAAGAAAACAACATGTCATGTCTCAGATGTCTAAACAAAACATTTGTGTCCTTTATACGCATATTATATACTTTTATGTAAATATGAATGCTGGTAATTCCATACAAAGGAGATACTTCTTTTTTTTTTCAAGATATTTTTATTTATGAAACTATCAATATACATCAATAACTTAGACATCTATTTAAGTAACAATTTAAGTAACAATATTAATCTTTATTTTTTTTTAATTAAAGAAGAATATATAAAGAATTAATTATGTGATTGGGATTGCCATAAGAAGTCTGTTTGCTTTAACTGCATAAAGTTATAGCCTTTGTTTTTTAAATGAGTATATGAGCATTTCCTATTTAACGATACAAGTCGACATATTATTAGTCGACAAATATTACTCTATTTTTATTACTTATTGAACATGAGACAAAGACAGAATAACGCTTATGTCGATTTGTTATTAAATAGAAAGCATCTGATCTAATATTGAAAGGAGAAGAAACAAATTTCTAATGTAGCACTAGTTTAGCTAAAAAGAACAAACATAATATTTATTCCCTTTCAATGACATAATTTATTTCTCACACACTTTCATCTAATATAAGAAAAAAAACAGATATTTTAAAATATATTGTTAGATAATTAAATTTAATCTAACATTGAAAGAAAAACAGTTCCAGTGCAGCACTAATTCAGCTGAAAAGAACAACCTGTTCTTTTACTGACTCTCACAGAAAATAGATTATAAGATGAAGATTTTCAAATGTATCATGTACCTTTCGCCCAATTATTATTTGTGATATGTATCGTATAACATGATCTACAATATATAAATAATCAAATGTACAAGAGCAGGGTTAGCACAGGTTATTTCACACTACAATATTTCGTCTACAATGTTGACTTGCAGAGCAAGAAGGAGCGAGGTGACCAAAGAACATGGAAGCCACCGATTCTAACCTAAGTGGCAAACGCGAAACCGCGAAACGAAGATAATCTTGTGGATATTCGTACGATTACATCATTTCTATTTCGTTGAAATAAGCGATCGAATGTAATTTTTGCGATTCGTTCAGTTAATCGCAACGTGTGTGTTGGAACAAGCGTATGCTGCTTCAACAGTATTTGCATATTGTCGCAATCTGTCACATGCCGAGTGCAGCAAGGCATGTACAGACATCGAAAAATCCGACATCTTTCGCGATATATTGCTGAATTAAATACAATTTAGCAGAAACCAACTCTTATTTTCTACAAATTATAAGAAACCAAATCTCAGTTTACCTCTACCGCAGCATGCGAACACGAAAAGAAGTAACGGAACCACGATTCAGCAGCCTTAGGGTGCTATTACATGAAGCGCAGAAACGTGAAAATGCGGAAGAGAAAATTTTACTAGATCCGCTACGCATTCCGCGTCTGTTTTGATTGCCTAAAGGCCGATCTACATTGATCGTATCGTAGCGTCGTAAGCATCGTGCAATTCGTTGTAGAAGTTGGTCAAATCCAAACTTCAACGATTCTATTAGCATGTTCGACTGGGTTAACCCACTCTGGGTTATTCAGCCTACGTTTATTGGTCGAACAAGTATTTATAAGCTTTATGATTGGCTAGTAGAGACTTATGACGTCATTAATCGTTCTCGGAGCGATTAAGGCCCAGTTCCACAATCTCTAGTTAACTTAACTGACTAGTTATTCTATTGGACTTAACCAATCGCATTTAGCGTTAAGAAAAGTTAATCAGAATTAACCAATCATTGTTGAGACTTAATCGGTAGTTAAAGTTAAATCGAGGTTGTGAAACTGGGCCTAACTCACTGCCAGTACTGAAATTCTATAATATACTAACATAAACTATAGATTTTCAGTACTGGCAGTGTATTTCGGAACGCAACCTAAACTAAGGTTGCATTCCAAAATGTTTTTTTTTGAGGAAAATTTTACTCAATATCTATAGTTCACGTTACATATACTATAAAGTATCGAATAAAATTTCCTCAAAAAGGATGTTTTGGAACCTAGATTGCTAAGTCCCAATCTACAATAGGTGTAATAAGCTTTAAGCCGTAAGAAATTGATCAATCATAATTGATTATTCCTCTATAATTCCAGTGAGATTGTTTAATTTCTTAAAGCTTACTACACCTATTGTAGATTGGGACTATTTCACAAATACATGATACTTTTTCATAATTTAATTTAGTGCTTCTAGTTTTTCTAAAATGTAATAACGCATTGTTCAGTAATATTATTGTTACATATTTTACGAAACTATATTACCCAATACTGTTAAAACCGTCTTAAATTCATCTTCAGATGATAAACGGATCATTTCATTGGCTGTAGAATATTTGAATTGTCCGAATCCGCCAAAACGAAATTTTGATAGAAAATTTGGGACAATACCTCGTTGACACGAAATGTTCTATAGGACGAAGCACGGGGCACCGTAATACTTGAGGTCTGCACTGCGGTCTAACGTATGAGCCTATAAAAGCTCGGCAAGCGCGTAGCGTGCTTTCAGATGACGATACGTCGAGGTTGTCTGGACATGTGTGGGCTTTGTGCTGGATAGGAAGAAGTAGAAAGAGCTGGTGCACGCACAGGACGACATTGTGTTCCCGGGGACATACGCATCGAGAAGTTTTCAAGCGTTCCAAGAAGTATGAAGTACATTTTAGTCACAGGTGGAGTTATTAGTGGCGTTGGCAAGGGTGTCATCGCCAGCTCGTTCGGCACTATCCTCAAGCACTGCAACATCCATGTGACGTCCATCAAAATCGATCCTTACATTAACATAGACGCCGGCACCTTCTCCCCGTATGAACATGGTGAGTAGATCGACGTTCACGTCGACACGTGGTTATCTCAGTATCCCAACAGATAGTCAAAATAATGTTAATCTAATGTTAATCTGATATCAATCTAATATTAATCTAATTATTTTGACCAAATATTAACCAAATTTCCGTTTTTTCTGTCAAAATGACGTCAGACTGACATTATCTTGACTATCTGTTCTACTTGGGATTTTCCTTCAATTCGAAATACTCGAAAAGAAGAAAAGGGTATGACGCGGTCATTAAAGAGACGGATGGGTAGAAGAAGGGTCTCGTGCACATGCGACGACACGATCCTCATATTTTTTTCAAAAAGCGTTCTATGTAAAAATTCAACTATCACATTCGCGATAAATTCGATCTTTTGCGCTACCGGCGTTAGACGAAAACGTATGAGCTCGAGAAATTTCTGAATCTTTATCTTTCATCGCTTGACGCAGATGTTCCATAGTAATTTCTTCAATTTTAATGGTAGAAGTGGATTTTTCATTCTCTTATTCGAATATTTTCTAGCAACAATATACAAGAATGCACACTTCGTGTTCTGTTATCAAGAAACGATAAGAAGAAACTATGAGTAACGTCATTTAAATAAGATATGCTTTTGTCCAAAGTCGAACAAAAATAGGCTAATTAGACACTCGTCATAGATCTACATTTTATGGCGGTTCTAGCCATGTGCTCGCACCGCCATTTACCGCCAATTTACTTCGCAATCTCTGTTGCAACTTGACACGTGGTGTGTGTGTGCATGCGTGCGTGTGTGTGTGTGTGTATGCACGCGGAAGCCATCAAATGTCTGCGCTTAGTAGAAATAAGCAAAAAAGTTCACTAAACGCTTTGCGCTCGTTATCAGTAGTTTTTATAACTGATGTAAGGTCTTCTGTTGAACATCATTAACGCTCTCTCGTCGTGTTTACTAAGCGCTCATCGTTTCTTTCAACATCCTTTTAATACACTAGATCGCTTAGTAAACGTGTTGAATACGCGTAACCGCCGAGAGTCGTTCAGCGAAAAATCAGCAGCTTAACGTAAAACGTTTGTTGAGCTTTTTCTGCTGAACGCAATCATTGGGCGCGTTCAGCGGAAAAAGCGCTCAGTGAGTAATCAACGATTATTGATTCTTACTGTTAAATCCCTAAATCTAGACTAATTATATTAACGAATTGTTCAACTGTTGCACAACTGTTGAGTTTGCTAAACGCACCCATTGTTTGCATGCGTTCCATTTATCTTTAAGATCCATATTCTCGTTCCTCTTTTATCTATAAAAGTGCCTCTAAAAGAGGTTTAGGAACCACTTGATTAGCTGAGAAGCTATATTCAAGGCACTTTTATCTAAAAGATAAAAGAGGGTTTAGAATATGGGCTTAAATGTACAAGAATAGAATGACAATGTCAAATAGTGTTGCATTATTAGCGCGCTTTCCGAACGCATCCTAATTATCATTACGCTCACTTCGGAGGTTTTCATGCTGAAAGCACAATATCCTGTATTTTCCTTCGGAATTTAAATAAATTTATAGCAAAGATGGAATGATGTTTTTTTTATCAATACAAAAACTTCTAAAGTGCGCGAGTACAGTCTATAAGCATTGCCGAAATAATTCTATATTCAATGCATTGATACAAGAGCTTTACACTCAACAAGAGTTTTACACATAAAATCTTACGAGTGACTTGTTTTTTGCATTTATTCTTTCTGCATTTCAAGATAAAACAGATGCATATTTAGAAAATATAAAAACTGTATTATGAGGATGTTAGATATGCAGGAATATATAAAAAATAAAAAAACTTTTTTACAAAATTTTTTTTGCTTTTAATACAATATTTGATGCCTTTCTATGGATTGATACTTGTTATAGATGAAATTTAATGCATTAATACATTAAAAGTAATTAACATTGATATAATTTACTTTAATTGTTATTATAACTACTATAATTATTGCTAATATAATATCTTCACTCTATTTTGTATTTATCACTTGCTGCTGCAAGTGCTATTTAATATCCAATGAAACATTACACTTCCATTGTTCCGAAAAGACAAACAATTATTCCTCGAAAGAAAACACACTCGTGTTACTGTTCCTCTACTTTATATAGCTTCACATTCCATGACAATACATTCCAATGACAAAGCTTTTTGAATGATATAACAGGAGAAGTTTATGTACTCGATGATGGTGGAGAAGTGGATCTTGATCTGGGCAATTACGAGCGCTTTTTAGACATTACTCTTCATAGTGATAATAACATAACAACAGGAAAAATTTATCAATATGTTATTACAAAAGAGAGACGTGGAGATTACTTAGGGAAGACTGTACAAGGTATAAATCACCTATGATATTGTTTAAAAACATGTGTAACATGTTGTACAAATGAATTAAAAGAATATACTGTTTTTCTTTTTTAAGTGGTACCTCATATCACTGATGCTATCCAGGAATGGGTAGAGAAAGTTGCAAATCAGTCTGTAACAGAGGATGGATCTATACCAGAGGTACTGTTCATAAATAAAAAATATCTTGTTATATAATATTAAATAATTTCATATATATACTTTGTAAGAAAGAAAGAATGTTAATATTTATTTTTCGACTTTTAATAAAAAATCTTAAAATTGGAAACTTTATAAATAGAACTGGAAAAATGAACACACACGCAGACTTTCTCTTTAATTTAATTGATCTTTTTATATGTTTTTAGATACTTTTAAATACATATATTATTATATTTATATGATTATAGACTTAAGTAACTGGTTAATAATTTTAATATTTTTCTAATCATTTATATATTCTTTAAATAGGTTTGTATAGTGGAATTAGGCGGCACAATAGGTGACATCGAAGGAATGCCGTTTGTAGAAGCATTTAGACAATTTCAATTTAGAGTAAAAAAAGAGAACTTCTGTGTTGCTCATGTGTCATTGGTGCCACAGGTAAGAGCATTCTTATTTAAATATTACATTGGCAATTTAAATTTGATGATAAAATTATGTGATTAATTTCGATGGAAAATTAACTTCTTTTCTAACTTCAACAGTATTAATTTTGCGACCTATGGTCATTAAGGATTTTTTTACTTAATTTAACGAGTTTATCTTGCAAGTTCTACAGGCTCTCTTTAAAACACTATATATCTACTAAAATACAAATATTTCTTCCAGCCAAGATCAACTGGTGAGCACAAAACAAAACCGACACAATCTAGCGTGAGAGAGCTACGTGGATTAGGTTTGTCTCCTGACCTCATAGTCTGTAGATCAGAAATGCCTATTGGCGACTCTGCCAAAGAAAAAATCTCCAACTTTTGCCATGTAGCTCCAGAGCAGGTAATTATCGGAGATATTTCTTTTAAGTAAATAATTATCAGAGATATTTCTTTTAATAAATAATTATCAGAGAAATATTTGTTAATTACATGTAATTACCACAGAAAAATCAATTAACAAAAAAAATGATACATAAAATTTAAATTTTTAATTATATAATCTCATAAAAAATATTTTTTATTAATACAAAGTAATATAAAATGTATGTAATGTAAATTAATTCTTTGATCACTGTCCAGGTTATAACTATACATGACTTGACGTCCATATATCGAGTGCCGCTTCTTATGGAACATCAAGGTGTCATAGAATTTCTGAATGACCGATTACAGCTACAAATAGGAATGCCGCGTCCGCGTTGCTTTATGAGGAAATGGCGAGACTTAGCGGAACGCGTAGATCATCTGCGTAAAGATGTTAATATTGCTCTGGTCGGCAAATATACAAAACTTGAAGACTCTTATGCGTCTGTTACGAAAGCGTTGCAACACGCTGCTATTGAAGCCGGATATAAATTGAACTTGACTGTAAGATGTCGTAATTGTTTGAAGTATTACTATACATTTTGCACGATCATATATATATATATATATATATATATATATATATATATATATATATATATATATATATATA